TTGGGTCGCGGACCCGTTTCGAGTGGGTCGCGGATGTGTGAAGAAAAAAAAATTGAAAAAAGAAATGGCCCAATTTTCTAACGCTGTGCATGCAGTAGGCATTGGACTGGAAGTACCGGAAACCAGTAGTCACGTAGTGATCATCTTCTCAATAAAACATATTTGCTGATGTTTTTTCGAGTCTTCTGGCCAATCAGAATCAAGATTGTTGCCGGAAGTCCCCACGGAGAATAACTTTGGGGTAGAACTCTTCTTTATACATCCATGGGTACAACTTCAGATAAAAATGAACACATAATGAAATATGACCCCCGGTTTGATGATTGACAGGTCACGGAACAATGGGGGCTATCTACCTTACCCACATTTTAAAGTAATTCACACATACTCTCTCCTCTTTGCTCTTCTCTCTGTGTGGAGCAGCAAGCTGTCAGAACTAAGTGAAAAACAAACAATGGCATCAAATATTATTAATATGTCGGGTAGTAATAGATTTATTTATTTTCTTCTCAGAGTGTACCAGAATGCATAGTTTATGTTAGTATTTCTAAAAAATCTCCTGGGGGAGAATCCCCCCAGACCCCCCTGCTGGGGTTGGGTTTTCAGCATGTGTTCCTTTTTATGTTATACAGTTCAGCTTTGATTCCATCATCTCATAAACCTATTTTAAAAGCATACTTTAGTTCTGTGAAGGGATATAAGGGATTTATGCACTGCACTTTAATTCATATTGTATGCTGAAAAGCGTATATTACAGCACAATTTTTTGTTGAATAGATTTGAGTGCTTCAAAATGTTGGGTCGCGATTTATTGACCAAGTAAAAAGTGGGTCCCGAGGCCTGACCAGTTGAGAACCACTTGTTTAGACAGTAGCTGCCGGGTCCCGCATGAGCTCAGCCCTCTCCTTTTTTATTGTTTTATCCATTTTTATTTTTTAAAACCTTTGCACCCCAAATCAGCACTTTAGAAACAGGAAGTGAAATAGAGGGATATGAGGCATGGCTAGAATGGGTGATCTGTTTGGTATTTTGAGCAAAACACTTCATAGACATGTTTTTTATATATTTGTATATATCTGAGACCTATGCCATTGCCTGAAAATAGCATGATAGGTGACCTTTAAATGAATCTCAATAACTCAGGACGAGCGGTGAGTAAACTCTTCATGTATGACAGTTTTATTTACCTGAAACCAAAGTTCATGTGATACAATCATCTCTGTAAATACAGTACAGCAGTAAAAGGACTGCCTGCCGTTAACACGACTCAAACACGTCGCACGTCTCAGTGCAAAGAAAACAGAAAAGAGGATGTTTTATGTTGAAATATTCCATAAAAGTATTTCCTTAGGAAAGATGAATTTTGAGCTTATTTAACATTTGTACTATTTACCAATACTATACATTGACGATCACACAGAGTGGAGGAACAGATGTCTGCAGAGCGAGCATGCACCGTGGAATAATACACGTTTCTGTACACGGTACTAAGATATTCGTTTAACAAAGATGATCATCTGAGGCTCTGCATGCAGGAGGATGAAGGAACTTCTCTACAAAATTAAACTTTTCTGAGCTTCTTTGTCTTCAGATTATTTTACTGACATGCAGCTCTTTGTAAGATGTGCTGCCCAAAACACACATGCACAACACAAAAGAAAACAAGGATTCTGCGAGGCATTTAGAGTCGAGGTGGGCTTACTTGGCCTTTGCTGTGGAGGAAGAGGAAGAAGAAGAAGAGAGGAAGAAGAAAATCAGTGGAGACAAGAAACACAGGCCGAAGCATCCGAGCAGCAAATCAGTTCAATTCATCAGTACTTGTTTTAATAAAAACATATTAAGGCCATGCAGGAGATTAAGTCAAAAAGACAAATGAGATTAAAAAAAGACATGTATAAATAAAATAAACATCAACACCATGTCCTGTGATGGTGTCAGAAATAACCAGCACTCTGCCGCTTATTTCCACCCAGTGTACCTGGCACTTTGAAGGCCTCTTGTACCGTTAAAAAGTGTTTAATAACAAAAAAACTGCTAGTCCAATCAAAACATGAGAAGCTGTCATTGCTGCTGCTTTAGTGTGAGCAATGTACGGAAGCCTGAGAGGCAAGAGAGGGTTTTGCTTTTTATGATAAGTGTTTTTTCCACTGTGTTCAAGTGCCTTTATTTAAAATTGGGTAAAAAATAATAATTTTAGAGGATACAAAGAAGCGTTTTGCAAGGATGTTGTTTAAGTTATTCTTATTTTCATCTATGATAAGTTTTTTAAAAGTTGCAATTTTTTTTTTATTGCATGGGATTTGGTGAACCCTGGTGGTTTAAATGAGTATTACAGCAACAAACAGCCTGCAACAAAACTGCTGTTTTGTTGGATTAAAAAAAGTGTAATACATATCAAATGTACTTGACAAATACATTAAGACTTGGACAAACTTATAAACCTGGCAAAAATAAAATAAAATGACCAAATAAATTCAAATTTCACAAATGAAATGTAAAAATATCCTGAAAAATAAAAAAAACTTAGAACGTCTTAATAATAATCCTGGCAAAATGTGGCTAAAAAAACATTACCAGTGTCACAAATGACAAAAAAACTATTACAATTTGGAATATTATCCTCGCAAAACCTTTTTTTCCCCTGTTCGTAAGTCTTAGACACAGTGCAGAAAAAACGCTTTTCCCTCTTTCCACAGTCAGACAGCAGGTAAAGCTGAGTGTGTTAGCATGCAGCTCAAAGTGTACTCACTCTGCAGGTTAACAGGTGGAAGGCATTGGAAGAAACAACAGTTATCTTTAAGACTAAAAAAAAAAACACCTCACTGGCCTGGAGTTATTGGAGCAGGCATGCAGGTAGAGTAAGACACGCTGAATAAAACCATGTAAAGTATGAAGCATTTCAACAACAAAATCTATACAGAGATTCTACTTTGTGTGCTATGTACAGATTTACAGACTCCTCCATGTTGTGCTCAGTTGATAAGACTAACAGCTTCTTGGTGCCTTTTTACATATTCAAGTACAGTATGTGCACATTATACATTATTAAGATGAATTAAAATGCAAAAAAAAAAATTAAGACGAAGGTTTTTCTTCAAGTAAACAAATTTAACAACTTTATCAAAAAAGAATCAAACTGGTAACATATCTTTATCCTCCGACAGAAAGGAAATATATATACTTTTAAAAAATAATGTTCGAGGGCTGCAAAAACTAATCGGCGCTTACCTCAACACTTTGAATGATATTTTTATGAAATGATTGTTAAGACAGATGGTTTTAATGATGACAGCGTTGAGGTAGCTGCGACGCACGGAGCTCAAAATAGATTAACGGCGGGGCGAAAGACACTCACGTCTTCGCCCCAAAAAACTAGAATTATACCGTCCTTTACATCGTCTTCACACCCAGCATTCATGTCCCCAAAAACCCCTCCCAAAACATTACAAAATATTAATTATCATAAAATAGTGTAAATTCTCTGTACAGCTCGACACAGCTCCGACACGGTGGGCTTTCTTTTAAAGTGAAGCGTGACGGTGAAATAAAGTTAGGGCTGGGCAATAAATACATATTATATCATGATCACAATGCTGTCTGAAAATGTGGATATTGGATCATTTTAAGGGGTTTTTCCTGGTTTTAAAGACGGCTTTACAGTAAAGTGATGTCAATTTGTAGTAATATTATTCATCTTTACCTACTTGGTCAATATAATTGTGAAAGTACCGTTAGTCAACCCAACGATATCATCACCATATCAAAACCTGGTGAAAAATAAGTCAGATTTTTTATTTAAATCCAAGAGTTTTGCAAAACCTTTTTTACGTTTATTTATTTTTCATTAAAAAAAAAATTTTGCTAGTAAGTATTTTTAAATATTTATTTATTGTTAAAATAGTTTTTTCTCAGGCAATCTTTTCCTGAAAAACTGGTAAATAAAAAAGTTTCTAAATTTAATTTCTTTCTATTATCTTTTAAACTTTTAAAATTGGTATTCTTTTTTTTTACAGCCACAATTTTGATATGCTAATTAGTAGAGGAGGCTGGTTTAGCTGTAACCTTTTTTCTAAATACATTTTTATTTCTGTTATCTGTTTAAATTGTATGTTTTTTTTAAGGCAATATTATTTGTGTTGTTGTTATACCCATTTCGGCCCCTAGAGTGCAGCACCACTGGAAAACGAATAAATAAATCAACATTTATCATACATTTCTTTTCTCCTCTTCTCTCTGCGTGATATTAGATTTTTAGATTGCCCAGCCCTAAATAAAATACCAGTCGTTAAATATGACCCCGCCCCGCCCAGAAACATGTATCGGTGAGAATGTCCTAAATACAAAAGGCTCTATAATGTAATGTGTGTTAGATGTGTGTGTTAATGTCCACGTCACACTGTGCTCAGGGGGAGGGGGGTAGTGGAGTGAGTCAGGGCCACAGCATGGCGGTCACGTTAGTGTCGAAGCTGTAGATCCACAGAACCAGCGGCAGAGACACGAACACAAAAGACCACGAGATCCCCTCCAAACATGCGAGGGAGCAGCCGGAGCGGGGGGTTGGCTTCTCCGTGCGCTCGTTACCGAAGTCCAGAAAGTTCCTGGCAACGAACTTCAACACCTCGTCCAATAGGATGACGGGGAGAGAGATCTTCAGCACCATCATCCACTGGGTGGTGTCCAGAGGCGTGATCTGGAAGATGACCTGAGGGAGGAAGAGGGAGATATTCATCAGCGGGTAATACTGATATTTATAACAAGATTATCTAGATCTAGATATAGAGATCTAAAGGATTTATGTATTTTGGTAGTGGAACCTGAAGGCAGCATCTCCCTGGTCCAATGGGATTTCTCCATGAGATTTTGGATTATTGCAAAAAATACAAACGTTTATGATTCTTACACGTTTAATCTCCACACATTAACACCACTTTATGTAAAAAGATAATGTTCGGCTCTAAAGGAACTACAGCACGGTCACATGACTTCACGTCACCACCGCTAAGCTAAAGGTGGCTAATGTTGGGCTCTAGAGGAACTACAGCACGGTCACATGACTTCACGTCACCACCGCTAAGCTAAAGGTGGCTAATACAGCACTTTTTGAACATTAAAGCATGTAAACATGTCAGAATAGAGGCAAGTATCTAGTTGATACTTGAGAGAAAAACTACATTTTGATAGACACATGATCATTCTGTGTTACATTTCTCCTTTCTGCAGATTCCTGAGAGGTGTTTTCAGACGACAGCACCATGAATAAAGTGTGTTGTAACTCACAGGAAGTGGCTCCACGTAGAGGATGAGGAAGTGCAGGGACATGGAGAGGCAGATGGCCCCCAGCAGCCNGGCTAATGTTGGGCTATAAAGGAACTACAGCACGGTCACCTGACTTCACATCAGAACCACAGACCTTATTTCAGGATAACAACCAAAAACACATTGACCTCCAGACCAGGGGACAGGAAGTGATGTCAGGGTTTCAGGGCGTCCTCTAGTGGGACGGTGAAGATGAAGTGAGATTATAAACACGTGTACTGACCCGTACGAGGGGGTTCTTGGTGGCGTTCCTCTGCGGTTGTTGGACCCCCTGCTGAGTGGTCTGGCTCCCCCCCCTCGCTCCAGAGGGTTGGACCCCCTGTTGAGGGCTCTGCCCCCCGCCCCTCGCTGCAGAGGCCCCGCCCCTCGGCCTCTGCTTGATGCCGTCCAGCAACCTCACCAGCAGGATGTTGGAGGGCAGCTCGTCCACGCCGCTCTCCACCAGCGTTCTGCACTCAGGACATCTCAACTCTCCACGAGATCCCAGAATGCTTTGCAGGCAGCGGCGGCAGAAGGTGTGTTGACACGGCAGAACTTTGGCCGTGGCGTCCAGACGCTCGAGACACACGGGACACTCGAGGAGATCCAACAACACCGACTCTTCCATGTTTCAGCAGGAAGACGAGAGGAAGAGGAGGGTCAGAGAGGAAGAAGGAAGTAGATCCATCACGTCACTCCCATCCCAACGCCGTGGCCATGGCAACGGCATCAGCTGCAGAAACAGGACGTATTAATGTTAGAAAAATATCACACAATTAAAGGTGGGGTAGGTAAGAATGGAGAAACCAGCTCGAGTGCGC